CCTACTGCTTTCCAATAGTTCACAAATTGAGTGTAAAGTTGACGGTTTTTGTAAAAACACCAAAAATAGGGTATCTTCAATCCGCTTTTACAAAAAAAGACCTTCTGGAAACTGTTAAATCATTCTAATTAGAAAGATCATGTTTCAAAACCCATAAAAAAGAAGGGTTGGTGTTTCATTGCTGACGTATAAAGCCCTAAAAATATTATTTTGTTTAATACAGCACAAGTTGTACAAGATGGCCACGTTTTGTGTCTCTCAACAAAATATCGGCGGAGATATGATATCTCAAAGTTGCTGAACCCTCAGGGTCATACTGTAGAAGGCTGCGGTATGGGGTCAAACAAATGACTATATCTCCGCAAGTATTGCATCGACAGACGTAACACTTATCCAATGTTCATTGGGGATGCCTGTGCATGTTCACACCAAATTTCATCGAAATCTGTGATGGTTGAGCTGGGCACTTTTCTGAAATCAGACCACTTGACATGGAATGACCCAGAAGTTATAATACTTACTTCCTATACTTTGTATTTTTGTCTTCCCCTTCTCACAGACTTCCCACCCAGTATCCTTTTCTTTCTAGGGAGCATTTCAAGCCCCTTCCCCATTTCTAGCCTTGTCCTTCTCCCCTGCACTCACAGCAGTGCTGGCTGAGGGCTCCATGCCTCCATTGATTTCAGAGTTTGGATCCTTCTTGACATCATCTAACTCACTGCCAGCCCCGGGACCCTTTTTTTTCTTGAGTTTTGCCAAGATGGAAGATTCACGTTCAGGAAATGGTGGCATCTCCTCCAGTACTGTAGCCTAAGGCAGTAAGGGTGAAAGTTGGAAACAACTACCAACATGTCCTGCCAGTCAACTTTGTTTTTCTGGGAAAAGACTGGAACTCAAGAGTTCTGCAATGTAAAAAATCCTAAAGACAATGTGACCACAAGTGGACTATCTACTTTATTATACTGGCCCTGTGCAGCCATCCACTTTCTCTATGATGTTTGCTGTGCAATGGACAGTCACCTGCCTAGAACTTCTCTAATGCAGAATAGATTACTTGAAAACTATAGGAGGTTTCCCATATCAGTTTTAGACACCCCCTCCCCCCAGCAGTGTGATTTTGCACTTTTTAAGCTTCCAAACTTTGCAAATTATGTTTCTCCAGGATTATGTATATTGTTTCTAAGCAACACATTTCAATCCTAACTCTGCTCCTTAAAGGAAACAAATGGGCTAGAACATTTAGTTTCATTTCATTTGAAGACATCACTGTAGTGCACTCCTCAAAGACCTGTATACAATTGAAGTTCCACCCTAGCCCATTCCACTTTCAGGCAAAAGGGTAAAAACTGGCTTTGGACCAAATAAAAAATGTCAAACTGATTCATTCCACTAAGAGAAGTTTCCTGTTTTCTATTTTCCAATGCTCCCTGAATCAACTTTTCTCAATTCATGGCTACAACTCTTCAGAAGGAAAAGCTAAGAATCTTTTTTCCCTGAGAGATAAGGCTACCAGTGCCCCCACTTTCAGTTCCTCCCTCACCAAGACATCGGTGCTAGCAATAGAGCTGAGCTTGAGGTATTCAATGGCACGTTGCTGCAATTCCACATCAGCATTGCGGATCTGGCTGTCCGAGCACAGCACTTCCTGGATGGTGCCCTTTGTTTCAGGGAAGAGATTTATGAATTTGATGTAGGTAGAGAGAAGTAGGGCCCGAGTGGAAACACTGCAGAGGTGGAATTTGGAGTGGAGAAGGTTGAATTGAACCAGAGGGCTGATGGAGAAAGGAGAACAGGAGACGAGTCAGAGCCCCTGAGATCTACAGGTGAGGAAATGTGAAGGAAACATTCTCACAGGCTTCCCTCACAACATCAAAGAATGAGACAATCTCCTTAAATGCCCCAAAATCAGCAAAACAGGAGAAAGATGTCACCCTTCAGATGTGCTGAGGCTGCAACTTTTATAATTTTCTTTGGTCAGGCTGGTTGGGAATTCTGAATGCTACAGTCCCAATACAATCCCAGCATCTGCTTTCCCCCATCCCCCTCATAGAAGCTGCTCTATCTCACCCCATTCTACCCTACCCCCTATTCCAGGTCAAGCCATTTCCTCTCATATTATCTACCTGGAACGGGGATCCCCAGCAATGAGATTCCCAAATTCCCCAAGGATGTAGCCTCCAACTTTCACCATGTTCTCATGACAAGCAGGAGCCTGGAGAGCCTGAAAAAATGAAAAGCAAATACAATGCATGGTGGGCAGATGGGTAGATGCAACTTGAGAAGTAGCTCCTATTTAGTTTAGTATAACATCACTGTTTATAAAAGGACAGGTAGGGTGATTTTAAGCCTTTTCCAAGGCTTAAGGAGCATCAAGTCCTTTCAGACTCTTTTAGACTGACTCGTACATCCCAGAATCTGATACATTCAGCATCAAACATACTGCAGAACTACGTATATGTGAATGGAGCACATCAATAGTCATACCCTTCAAATTTATATTGCCCTCACAATCAGCCATAACCTACTCCAGAATACTTCATTTCATTCCCCTGCATCAATATATATTTAGCATTTTGTGGACATTGAAGATGCTCAGTCCTTCTTAAACTGCAATCCATTTTAGTGCCCCCTGAAGGTATTTGTTTCTTATCTATGGCTGCATATGTTGGAACAATGAAATAAGAATGGACAAGCCATCTAATTTTCATAGCCAGAGTCACATACTCATAAAAGGAGGGAAAAGAAAACTTCTTCAGAGCTCTAGAGAGGTAAGAAAAGACAGTCAGTGTCCCAAGTCAAGGCTGCCCACCTCAAAGACTGTCTTGGCTGCATAACCTTGCACATCATCCCGGTTAATGACAATCTGGATGACACGGTACCACACCTCCTCACTCACATAGTCACCAGCAATGCGGATCAGGTTGAGGATGGTATCCACATACCAACTATAGTCTACTGCGTATTTCTCAGCTAAGATGGCTACCTTCAGCACCTGACAGAAGAAAAAGAAAATGTGACTGCCAACTCCCAACTGGTCTGCCTTCTCCAGCCCAGTTTTCCTGTTGAGACA